TGGGAGGTGAGAGATAGAGACCCAGAATAACAGAACCAGAAGGAGACTGATGGGAGGTGAGAGATAGAGACCCAGAGTAACAGAACCAGGAGGAGACAGAACACAGATAAGTGTAAAGACCCACAGTAACTGAGCCTAGAGTAGAAGTAGACAGGTAAGAGATAAAGACCCACATTAAAGAATGTAGAGGAGACAGAAGACAAGTAGGAGAAAGAGACCCACAATAACAGAATCTATAGGAGACATACAACAAGTAAGAGACACAGACCCAAGGTAACAGAACCTACAGGAGAAAGAACACATGTAAGAGTGAGACCCAAAGTAACAGATCCAGGAGGAGACATAAAACAAGTAGGAGATAAAGACCCCCAGTAACAGAACCTAGAGGGCACAGAACAGAGGTAAGGGATAGAGACCCACAGTAACAGGACTAAGAGGAGAGACATGTGAGGTAAGAGAGAGAGACCCACAGTAGGAGAGGGGGACAAGATGGTGGAGGAGTAGGGGACTACATTTTAACCGGTCCCCTACAATTTAGCTGGGTATCTACCAAACCATCATGAACACCCACAAAATCAACCTTAGATGTAAGAATATATATCTTGATCACTACAAGCAGAAAAACACCACCTGTCCCAAGGTATGAAGGGAGGAATCATGAATATGTGGGCAGATATCAGAAGATAAGCAGAAGGGGGAGGGATCTGCCATAAGCTGGCCCCTGGAAAGTGATATGACACCAGAGTGCAAGAGCATACCACGAGGGGTTGGGGCGATAACTCACAGAACGGTAATGCCAGGAATGGCTTTATAACAGCATTCAAACATGATCCAGGAGCTGTGGGGGCACGCTTGTGAACCCAGGACTGCCTGCAGGGCAGAGACAAGTGGGGTTTGTGGATCAACCGCTGAGAAGGTCGCTGTGGACGCGCATCACTTGTGGTAGGCTTCGGTTTTCAGCGGCACTTAACAGAAACGGAGACTGTGTGTTCTGGAGGGTTCAGAATGAGCAGACTGTGATTTCTCTGCTCTAGGACAGAGGTGGTCTGGGTAGAGCCATTTTTTTGTTCTGACCCTCAGAATAGGCTCACAAAGCTGCCAGAGAACAAAAGTTCAAAAAATTAGTTTCCACGGAGTCCAGCACCCTGGCAAACCTCAGAACCAAGAAAGCTTCCAGAGAGCAGCTGGGGGGGAGTGATTTCTTAGGTACAGAGGGAGGAACATCAGAATAACATCAGATCTGTCCACAGAGACCTGGCAAGCCAGAAAGGGCTGGTAAGACATATTCAGGGTACTAAATGAGAAGAACATGCAGCCAAGAATACTTTATCCAGCAAGGCTGTCATTTAGAATGGATGGAAAGATTCAGAGCTTCCAGGCCTGGCAGAAAATGAAAGAATAAGTGACCACTAAGCCAGCCCTGCAAAAAATATTAAGAGGGGGTTGTGGATGGCAGCCAGACTGGCCTCCTGCAGATGGGCCTGGTGACCTGGTCCCCAGGTGGGTGGGATGCAGCCTCAGTGGACAAAGGTGGACAGGAGCCGAGAGGCCAGGACAACAGGCCCAGCCTGCACCATCCTGTGCCCAGGACCCGAGTCATGCTGGGCAGGAATGCCACACGTACCCTCACTGCGGCCTGCTGTCTCTATGGTGTCCCCACGCAGTCCCCATGGTGTCCCTACACTGTCCCATCGCTGTCCCCATGCTGTCCCCACGTTGTCCCCATGCTGTCCTCACACTGTCCATACACTGTCCTCAACCATCCCTTCACTACAGCCCACTGTCCCAACACTGTCCCCACACTGACCCCATGCTGTCCCCACGCTGTCCTCACGTTGTCGCCATACTGTCCAAACACCATCACCTCACTGTAGCCAGCTTTCCTCATGCAGTCCCCACACCATCAACTCACTACGGCCCACTGTCCCCACACTGACCCCATGCTGTCCCCACGCTGTCCCCACACTGACCCCATGCTGTCCCCACGCTGTCCCCACACTGACCCCACGTTGACTCAAAACTCCCCACGCTGTCCCCATACTGTTGCCTCACTGACCCAAGGCCATTCCCACATTGTCCCCACACTGATATCTAGCTGTCTGCACACTGTCCCCATGCTGAACCCACTCTGTCCCCACACTGACGCCATGCCACACTGTCCATATGCTACCCCCATGCTGTCTCCACATAATCCTCTACCTGACCCCACACTGTCCCCTGACTGTCTACATGCTGTTCCTTTGCATCCCCACATTGTCCCCACGCTGTCCCCACACTGTCTCCTCCCTGTCCCCATGCTGACTCCATGCTGTCCCCATGCTGTACTTATACCGTACTCTCACTGCAGCCTGTTGTCCCCATGCTCTCCCCACCTTGACCACATGCTGTCCCCACACTATCCCCTCGCTGACCCAAAACTGTCCCCACACTGACCCAACGCTGTCTCCACACTGTCCCATGCAGTACTCACACTGTACCCACACTATGGCCCACTGTCCCTACGCTGTCCCCATGCTCACCCCACACTGTCCCTACACTGCCCCACACTATGCCCTATTGTCCCCACACTGTCCACACACTCCCTCTTTGCTTTCCCCATATTGTGCCCACTCTATCCCCATGATGTCCCCACACTGACCAAACACTGTCCCCACACTGTGGCCCGCTGTCCCCACGCTGTCCCCATACTGTCCCCTCTGTGTCCCCACACTGTCCCCTCTGTGTCCCTTCACTGACTACTCACTGCCCCTTCGCTGTCCCCTTGCTGTCCGCATGCCATCCTCACCACGATCCCCGCACACTACAATGGTCCCGGGTGTGGGGGGCAGGCCCTGGCGGGAGGCGGTCCTTCAGACTCCAGGCCACGCTCACTCCCTTGCCCACCTGCTGCAGGTGAAGTGGATCTTCTCCTCGGTGGTGGAGCTGAAGCGCACGATCGTGCCCGACTATAGGAACATGATCGGGCAGGGGGCCTAGGGCCAGCCCTCTTGGGCGGGTGTCCAGGGCTGCCCTCGACCCCACATAGGAACCGGGTTAATCCGTTCATGCCACTCGGCTTGCTGCCAGGCCCGCTCTCTGCCCTCCCACCTTGCCACCCTCTGACCTCACAGCCACCCTGGGCCTGCACCTCCACCCTCTGGGCTCGTGGACACTGTGGGCTGCATCTTGCCCCTGAACCCCCGTTTGGAGACTCAACATGACAGCAGGCCGTGCCCCCGACCTGAGCTGACGGACACCTGCTGACCCCTCCTCAGCAGCCACCAAGATACTGCTGGGGCCGTGTGGACACTGAGGCATCAGGGCAAGATGGCCCTCACCAGGACAGCCCTGGGGTCGGAGTACAAGGTCATCCTGGAGGAGGTGGAGGGCTCATGATCCCAGTGTCTATCTGGGCAGGGCCTGGCCTCTGTGCAAACCCCTTCCAGGCCAGGCTCCAGAAGGCAGGACATCCCCAGAGCAGGCTTATTGTCTCAGATCCTGAGGAAGCCGCGGGCCTCTGTCACCCCACAGAGAAGCTTCCGACATGCCACGAATGGTCAGTCAGACCTTCTCCATGGGAGGAGACCACGCAGAGAAGGGCCCAGGCCTGTGGCCACTGCAGGAGCCCACCAGGGGCAGGGGGGCACCATCTGGGGAAGGAGTGATGGCAGCCAGACTGGCCTCCTGCAGATGGGCCTGGTGACCTGGTCCCCAGGTGGGTGGGATGCAGCCTCAGTGGACAAAGGTGGACAGGAGCCGAGAGGCCAGGACAACAGGCCCAGCCTGCACCATCCTGTGCCCAGGACCCGAGTCATGCTGGGCAGGAATGCCTGCTTGCTCCTGGGAGCTGGGGGCAGAGACAAGATGACCAGAGAGAGCCCCCAGGCATTGGGGCCTGAGACAGGTGGACTCCTAG